AACACACCTTAAAGTCCCTGCCTTGTATGTTCCTCATAGTTGTAAGCAGGGACTTTAAGGTGTGTTTGTGAACAGGATTTTTAAGGCACAAGAAAAATGTGAGGCCTGCTGGGTTTGCAAATTGTTAGCCTTGCTTCAACATTTTATTTAAATGGACAAAACAAGCTGGAAAGGGACTTTTATTTCCACAACACTTTTCCCATGGAAGAAGAGTAGTTTGTCTTTAGACCTCCTGTGTTCTAATTCCTGTTTTTGTCAGTTTTCTGTTGCTGAAGTTTTATTAAAAATGTGATGCCATTTAAAGTGGTCTTTCTGTAAGAAAGGTCATGACCTCACTTTTTTTAAAAAAATCTTTTTTTATTTTTTTCAATTGTAAAGGAATTAAGAAATAAATAAAAAGATAAATATTTGGAAAACATATAAGTATACAGTAACCCCAATTAAATTTTAGACCACTTCCTTTTCTTTTCAAGAGCAGAGTCTGTGAAAGAATCATCATATATATTGGCAGCACAAAGAAACCAAATTATTTTACATGTTGTGTGATGTATGTATTAAATTAAAGTTAATGTATTTGTTTAATGCATTTTAATAAGAATAATTCATTATTTGGCTTGTAATTTTATTTTATTTTTAAATACTGCAAGCTGCCTTGTATCCTTCAGGAGAAAGGCAGCATAGATATAAATATATATTTAAATAAATAAATATGTAGTTAAATTTAAAAAGATGCATGTAAATATCACATCAGCATCACCAGATGCATGGTTGCTTCCAAGGACATTTCTGTGTGTTAACCAAAAGGGTGTTGTGAAGAAATTAAAGGTCTTGGAACATATAATAAACTGAAATATAGCTAGACTTCTATGTAGACCTGACAGATGTAAAAGGCGAACTTTTACAGCCTGGACCCAGCTTGATTCCCTCCTCCATCTCCTGTGTTTCTGCAATTCACAACTTCAAAGAGTTGCAGATCAAGAGCTTATCTCCTCAACTTTATCCTTTGTTTATTTCTTGTTCCCTTTGTACTGACCAAATAGTTGTGCCTCCTGACCTGAGGGGATGAAAATGCAGACATCAGGTCAGGGAAGCTGCCCAGTTGTTAAACCTTTTGGCCAGAACATCTTTGTTCTCCTGAGTCATCCACTTGGATTAAGGGTTATTCAAAGTAGCCAGCAGTAGTATAAAGACAATTGAGAAAAGTGGCTTAGTGTCTCACTCTCACATCCTTGGAGAGGGAATGTTTCCATGCCAGGCCAATAGGACCTTTGATGATCTTAAGTCTATCTCCCTATTTAGCAAACAGAAATGACAAGGTAGCTTAGAATTTCTTATGTTTCTGGTTTTGCTGTTTATATCCTGTACTTCTGTATCCAGTTTGGAGACATCCTTCAGTCTTGAGAGACTATGGTAACGTGCTCTGAATAGAGGACTTGGAACAGCATCTAGTGTGGTTGAGAAGGCCAATTCAAGAGTGACAATCCCTTCCACACTGAAGACAAATGCAATCTGTCTCATGTCCAGCTCCCTGATTTTGCTGGTTTCGGGAAATTGTAGTTTCTATGGTTTATATCATTATCGGTTTATATCATTATATATTATATCATTATCAGTTTATATCATTATAAACCATAGAAACTACAATTTCTATCTGAAGAAGTAGATTTTAATACCATAAAGCACGTTCTGAACTATAACAGCAAGCCTTTATGGTATCACTACAAACTTATTTGTTTGTAATAAGTGTTGCCTTTAAGATACATGTTTTGTTTTGTTTTTACAGAAATCTAAGAATGATAAAGCTTCCTCACAATGTGTTCAAAGCTCTGCACCAGTCCTTTTTGTATTTGATCTTTTCCCTTAGAATCTTCTTCACATATTACTCACATGAAGGGGGTATTTGTGATTAGTAGGCATAGAAAACAATGACATTTGTTTGCTTTTGAAAAGAAGTAACCAAAGTCTGCAAAACAAAACAGAACTACCATATTCTATTCAGGATTGATAGAATTTAAAATCTCTTTTTTAAAAGAAAAAGAAGAGGAGAATTTGAAACTAAAAATTAATTTATCTAAGGCCAAGCTTTTGAATATTTAACACTTTAAAGCCGGGGTCCCCAACCCCCAGTCTGCAGACCTGTATGGGGCCATGGCCTTGGCAGGACTGGGCCACAGAAACAGATCTTCCACCCCCTTACACAGCCCTCCAAGCATGCACACATGCATGGTCCCCCACATGCATGCATGGATACCCCACCTACCCATGTATGCACACATGGGTGCCCCACTCACCCATGCACAGATGCCTCCCCACCCATGGCTCCCAGCCAGTCTGAAGCTCAGAGAAGGTTGGGGACCACTGCTTTAAAGCCTTTATTTGAATCTCTTTACATTCAGCCATCCTTGTTCCCAGTAAGGATTTCCATCACTCCCCCCTTTCTTCCCCTGAAAGCTTATTCATCATCAACAGTTTAATGCACACAGATACAACACGGTATTGATAGGAATACCTGTACCTTTTAAAATAAAACTTACCATTAGTACAGTGTAGTGCTCACACATTCCTTCTGCCTGTGTGTACTAACTTCCAAATGACAACTGTCCCCAACCCCCTGCATGGTGCTGCTGTTTAAACCAGTGCACACAGACTCCTTTTCTTGGATTTTCCCTATCAGCAACCCTTTCAAACAGCCAGTGTTACCTTTTGCACCAATGCTTTTGGTGAAATTAAAGCTGAACCTGGATAAGATGGAGACCCCTCTTCTGGGGGCCTCCTCTGGACATGCTAGAGGACAGTCTTCCCAAGCTGGATGGTGTTATCCTGCTTCCTGGGATTGAGTACACAATCTAAGTGTTTTCTTAGAACTCATCCCTATAATGGGAAACCCAGGTTGCAGCCATGACCAGGTCTGCCTTTAGTCCATTGAGGCTGATCACCCAGTTGTACCATTACCTGGACATGGTGGCCCTGAAGATATTGGTGTGTGCACTGGCGATTCACTACTGTAATGCTGTTTAAATGGGACTTCCCTTGAAGCTGACCTGGAGACTCCAACTGGTACACAATGAAGCCTCCAGTCTGGTGTTGAATATGAACAAGTATGAGCACATTTCCCTGGCTCTGGCCATCCTGCACTGCTTGCCTGTGGTGTACTAGGCCAGATTCTTTTTAAGTTTGCTCTTAACTATAAAGCCCTTCACAGTTTGGGATCTCAGTACTTATCAGAGAGTCTTTCTCTAAAAATATCCACCTGTGCCACCTGTTCCTCTCAGTCACGATTTCTTTCATTCTAGCTTCAATACCTTCAAACATACTCTCTTAACTTGTTTCTTTCATTCTTTCCTGATTTCTTTCATTCTATCCTCTCAAGTCTGTGCTGCTATGGGTGACCACCCTGAGGGAGATCAGGAATGCATCAACCAGAAATAGAGCCTTCTTGGTTGTGACCCCATCTCTTTGGAATGGGCTCCCTGTGGAGCTATACCTGGACTCCTCCCTCACTGTTTTTAAGAGGATGCTCAAAACAAAGCTGTGTATGAAGGCTTTGAGAGAGTCCTCTCTTAATGTAGTATGACAGATTATATTTGATTGCCTATTCAGCATTGTGGCGTTTGCCTCTAGTAACCCCTGGTTATTCTTCCAACCACAGAGCTCATGAAGGCAAACCAAACTCCTTTTTACCCACTGCCATCAGTTGATCACTAAATCAACATACATTTCTAAAGAAAGATGAAGGTCCATTCATCACTTTCTTTTAAATCAGTGGTTCTTAACCTTGGGTTACTCAGGTGTTTTTGGACTGCAACTCCCAGAAGCCTTCACCACCAGCTATGCTGGCTGGGGTTTCTGGGAGTTGCAGTTCAAAAACACCTGAGTAAGCCAAGGTTAAAAACCACTGTTTTAAATAAAACAGCTTTATTGATTACAGATGTTTTGATAATCATACATATCTTCTTCAGGTTTATCAATCATCAATAACAATCTTCTATTCGATCTTACAGTTACTATTCACTCTTCTGACTAATCACACCCCAGATCTCCCAAATATCACTCTATCTCTCACTCCACTCTCATCTCTCTCCTTGACTCTTGACTCTCCCTTCATTCTCAGGCTCTGCCTTGTTATCTCTCTCTTGGCTCCAGCTCTCAACAACATTAGCCTACAACATGAATAATGTGTTACTATTTAACATAATAAGGGAGAATGACACAAGCATCATTTAAGTTTCACTGATTTATATGATGGTTTTGTCTGATTATATGTGTTATTTCTTTTATTATATTTTGATTTTCTTTGTGCTGGTCTCACTCTGGATGTAAACCACCAGAGTAGTGTTTATAACTAATTGGCATGATATATAAGGCTAATAAATAAATAATAAATGAGCATGGTGTCTTGTTTACTTTGGTGACACTATAAACCACATGATGTCTTAGCGGTGACCAATAGTATACATGGGTATAATTTCTTGTGATTGCTGTTTCTTCCCATATTGAGTCCACAAGTAGTTACTTTAAACTTGTCAAGTCAAACAGGTGCAGTTACTTGTGTTGCTAATCCTATTTCAGATGTTTCAGTGACAGGATTAATTTTAGCCTGTAAGCAGAAGGAGCTGGCTAGTCCTGCCTCCTTTCTCTCTTACGTAGAGAGTTAAATCTGTAAAAGTTAGGAATGCCTATCCATGAAGCCTCCCGCATGATCAGAAGACTTGAGAATTCAGGCTTATAAATCATATAGATATTCAACATGTAGAAATGGGTGTCCTGCTCAGAATCACCCCTTTTCATGAAAAAGGTAGGATGGAAGGAGTGGTACTGCCCACATTTCTCTACTCAGGGTTAAGATTAACTGAACATCCGAACAGAGTATCTTTAAAATAGGAATCTAATTTGTGGAGTAAAGATTTTATGCACAGATTTAATGCATTGGAATTATTCTAAATTTATCAAAGTGAGCATGTGCAATATTTTTTATGTTTGTTTTCCTTTATGTTTTGCAGCGCTTCAAGTATCAATTTCCCTCAGCAAGGTAGAAGTTAGTGTGGGTGTATCCAAATTCTTCACATGCACAGGTATGTGTGCTTACATAATTTCAGGTTTTTTTCTCTGTATGCATACATTGCTTCTTTGTCCATTTGTAGTAAATGAACCAAGCTCAGTTTGATTTGGAAATGGTACAAGACTGTCTGTTTTAGAAGTATAATTAAAATGATTGAAGACTTCATAAGGGACAGACAGTGGTAGAATGCATTCATGTTTTTAAATCAAAATCAAAAGATTCCTTTCCTTCCAGTAACTGGTCTTGCCAGAAGGTGAGAAATAAACAGTAATCAGGGTACCTTCAAAAGCCTTATTTAATGTAAGTTGAAATAAGTACTGAACACAAATATAATAGCTAGGGCATCCTTCAGAAAAAGACTGACTTCTTTTAAGCAGTTCTAACCATATTTACTAAGAGAGCCATACTCAGTCATTAAGGCTGTTGTTGTTGTTTAGTCGCTTAGTTTGTCTGACTCTTCGTGATCCCATGGACCAGAGCACGCCAGGCCCTCCTGTCTTCCACTGCCTCCCGGAGTTGGGTCAAATTCATATTGGTAGCTTCGGTGACACTGTCCAACCATCTCATCCTCTGTCGTCCCCTTCTCCTCCTGCCTTCACTCTTTCCTAACATCAGGGTCTTTTCCAAGGAGTCTTCTCTTCTCATGAGATAGCCAAAGTACTGGAGCCTCAGCTTCAGGATTTGTCCTTCCAGTGAGCACTCAGGGTTGATTTCCTTTAGAATGGATAGGTTTGTTCTCCTTGCAGTCCAGGGGATTCTCATGAGCCTCCTCCAGCACCACAATTCAAAGGCATCAATTCTTCGGCGGTCTGCTTTCTTTATGGTCCAGCTCTCACTTCCATACATCACAACAGGAAAAACCATAGCTTTGACTATTCAGACTTTTGTTGGCAATGTGATGTCTCTGCTTTTCAAGATGCTGTCAAGGTTTGTCATCGCTTTCCTCCCAAGAACCAGGCGTCTTTTAATTTCTTGGCTGCTGTCACCATCTGCAGTGATCATGGAGCCCTCCATATTTTCCCCTTCTGTTTGCCAGGAGGTGATGGGACCAGTGGCCATATTCATAGTTTTTTGTTATGTTGAACTTCAGACCGTTTTTTGCACTCTGCTCTTTCACCCTCATGAAGAGGTTCATTAATTCCTCCTCACATTCTGCCATCAGTGTGGTATCATCTGCATATC